AAAAAAAAAAAAAAAAAAAAAAAAAAAAAAAAAAAAAAAAAAAAAACATCACATCTCGAAGAGAGAGACAGAACGTACCAATAAATACAAATATTAAAATCCGGCGCAGCCGTTAACACCGAGAAATCCTTTACTTCGTACCTTCTTCAACCAAACCCTAATATCCAAACGAAATCGAAATCAGGAAAAAAAAAATCCAAAAAACCAGAATTACACAGAGAATGAACAAAATAAATGGTAAGCCAAAAGAGATCACAAACAAATCAAACGCAAACAACAATCTTACCGATGAAAAGAATTAGCGGCGGAGAACAAAACCGGAAGAATCCCTAAAATAAACTTGCAAGCAAGGGCTGAGAGAGAAAGGAAACAAAATTCGATAGAGAGAGAGAGAGAGAAACGATGAGAATTCAAGGGGCCGCAAACCGTTTGCGTTTCTGTGAGGTCTTCAATAGCGAAGAGGAACTTATATAGCAGACCATCGCGGAAAAACCACGCGGTTTGAGATTTATTACGGTTTTGCCCTATTTTCTCTCATCCCTTAATTCCATAATCTTAGGTATGTGAAATGACAGCGCAGCCCTTTTCTCTGGATTTAAAAAATGAATTATTAAATAAATATTATAAAGATAATACAAATATTGTTGTTATAATTTGACTTGAAAAATTAAACATAAAATGAGTTTCAAAATAAAAGAAAGAAAAAGGGATTTTTAAGGAAAAAAACAGAAAATAATGAGAGGGATAGGGAAAAAGATTTACAGCCTGGATTTGCAGATAATTGGCTAAATGTAATAAAAATAATAAAAATAATAAAAATAATAACTTTATGGCAACTTGCAAGCCAAGAGTATTGTCTTGACAAACCCAATAAATTTGAGCCGCTTAATTAATCAAATATCTTTTAAAGATAAAGAAAAAAAATTGTTATTTAGAGTATTTTTAAATAAAAAAGTTATTGAATTATTTTAAATTTTAAATATTTATTATAATATATTAAATTGTTCTAAATTAATATATTAGATACAAAATTGAAAATTAAATAAATTTTATAGATTTAATTTAAAGAAAATAAATATCAAATTAAAAAACTAACTTATTTTTTAATTTGAGATTCAAATTGGAAAAATACAATGCATTTGTTTTACTCTAAATAATAATAATAATAAATAATAAGTTTTATTCTCTATAAACGTAGGTGGCTTAATGTCAAACCCGGAAGGAATTCTTATCACGTGATTCCAACTCTATCGCGATGCATTTTTTTTAATATACTTTCTCACGTGCGACTCAACACGCTCAACTGCCTAATAGGGTTATTTTCGACTTTACACATGCCAAATAGATTGGAGATCAAGTAACGGAACTATCCATGCGTTTATTTATTTAATATATTTTTTCTTACTCTTTATTATTATAATCTTTTTTCAATTTCCTCTCATTTCATTTATATATTATAAACTTAGTCTTTAAATTATTAAAATTCGTGTCTAATAAATATTAAATTTTTAAAAGAATTTCAATAATCGTTGATTATTTCAACTTATTTCGTACATTTTATTATTTTTATTTGGCCCTAATAATTAAAATGGTTGGATGATAAACTCACCCACCATAATAACGCAACGAATATAATAAAATTTCCATAAAATTTTATTAATTTCTGACATTATTGGAATTGCTTCTATTTTAAAATAGGAAATAATATTATTAAAAAGCTGCAATAATTATTTTGTCGTTTTCTAGTTTTTAGACCATTTTCCAAAATGGAACGCCATAATTAAAAAACTATTAACAAACTTTAACGATACTTTTAAAATATTTAATAATTTTATTATCTAAAGTAAAAGAAATTTAAAAATATTAAATATGTTAAATAAATAAATAAATAATACTAAAGTAATGGGATATAAGGGCATTGGTCCACGTGTACAGAATCAGTTGAATACAAGGCTGAGGAGGAGCCACGTCTGATGGGCCCCACCGTTTGTTTTACCTTTCGCCATCGTGTCCATAACTGACCAATCAGAAGCTAGAAAACTAAACACAGCTAGCAATTTTCAGCCGTTAATTTATTCTTTTTTCAGTGCCGAATTTAACCCTAATTTTTAGTCCTGGTCTGCTCGTATGAGTAGGGAGTTAATCGTAATTTACCCAGCTCTTTCTCACAAGTCCACATCTGCATAGTACTCCTCACCTGCCTTATCCCTGCCATAGGAATCTTTTATTATTCATATTCCTTTATCTTATATCTCCACCTTGTTTTTTAATTTAAGGAATTCCCTTTATAATGTGTGAAAGATAGAGGAGATGATAATTAATCTATATTTAAGAGTTCGGAATGGTAGGATCATAAGAAGAAGACGGTATATTTCTTGTTGGGATTATTTACAAATCCGCTTGATTCTTTGGTCGACAATCATGGATCATGTATCTCTCACTTTGACCCTAGCTTACTTTGTTATTTCCTTATGCTCGGTAAGTGAGTCAATGTTTTGCCTCTGACTCTTACCCTACCTCTTATCTCGAACATTCAATTTTTTACCATTGTGATGTTAAAAACTTTAACTATAGATAAGGATGAAAATTCAAAATTCTAACGTTTTGATCAATAATATATACATCCCAAGCCCACCGCTAGTAAATATCATCCTATTTGTACTTCCACTCAATGTTTTTAAAATACGTTTACTTGGGAGAGATTTCTACCCCCTTATAAATAATGTTTCGTTCTCCTCCCCAACAGATATGAGATTTCATAATCCACCCCCCTTTGGGGCCTGACGTCCTTACTGACACTCGTCTCCTTCTCCAATCGATGTGGGACCCCCCCTCTAGGGCCCAATGTCCTTGTTGGCACGTCGCCCGATATCTAGCTCTGATATCATTTATAACAGCCTATGCCCACCGCGGGAAGATATTGTATTCTTTAGATTTCCTCTCAAGATTTTTAAAACACATCTGTTAAGAAAAGGTACCCCTTTATAAAAAAATGTTTTGTTCTCCTCACTAACCGATATGGAATCACATATATATGCTCCAAACATTTACCATAGTGTAATGAATGAACAGTATTTTTTAAAGTAATAAAAAGATGCCAAATAAAATTAAAAAAAAAAAAGAAAAGTAGAGAGAGAGAGAGAGAGAGAGTCAAAACGTCAGTGTCGAGCATCGACTAATATGGCAATGGAAGAACTAAAGTTGAAAACGGCAACAGAAAATCAGAAAGGAGGGTCGTTTTAGAGTCCACTTTATTTAGCAGTGTTAGGTTCTGATTGGTGGGCGATTGGTTACGGGTCCACAATGTCACGTGTTTGTGATCGTATTCTAGTCAAGAACTCCATTTTTCCACGGTGTGCGTGAAATTAAACCTGAATCCAAACATGACCTACTTTCCTTCTAGTCAAATCCTGTCGTATTTGCGCTGTCTGCCCATACCGATTCGGTCTGTCGGTCTGGTAGTCATGTTTGAACAACATTAATTTTCTTTTTACAAAAATGTTTACCTAATTCTATTTTCAATATTTCATATATATATATATATATAATAATTAAAAAAAATAAAATAAAATAAACATCAACAGTATTATAGCTTAAGTAAGGAGATGTTCCTTTGCCCTGCGAGGCCGATGCCCACCCTAATTGAGAATTGGGAGAGGGAGTAGAGCCAAGAACGGGATTCTATTCTCTGTCTTCTACAAGGTCAAAACAATAGATTTTGAGGTTAATTATGTTGGTAATGCATTATAATATATGTTTGTTTGTAAACCTTGTATTAGGTTTTTTTATACATTTTTCTAAAAAATAAAAATGATATTGTAAAATGGAAATTGTCCATCTCTGCCTTGTCTCATATCGGTAAAAATAAATAAGAAATTTAAAAAGAATGAAAATTAAGGTAGAGATAGGGATAGAAAAAGTTTTCTCGTCCTCGTCCGTGGATATCTCTATTTAAGTTTAAACTTTCATATTTAATAATGTTTACATTTTTAACAGTATATAAAACAATGTTTAGTAATTATTTTATTTTAAAAGAAAGTTTATTTACTATTTTCAAAACTTATCTCGCAATCTATTTCAATAAACATTATTAAACAATTAATTAAATGTTTTAACTTTTATACGTTAGAGAGAATTATAAACAAAATAAAACAAATATAAAAATTTGTGGAAAAGAAGGTTTTTAAATTTTTCTTGGAAATGTAAATGAGATTTAAACCTTCCAAATAAATATATATATTTTTAACTGGTTGCTACAAACATTTTATACTATTTATATCTGTTAAAAGTTTTTGGAAAAAAATTATGGGCAGAATTACAATTGAAAATAGTAAAAAGAAAAGTTATAATAAATTTAAATAAAATAAAAGTAAATTTGCATTATAAAGCCAGGAATTATTTCACAGTACTATCATAAAACAACCATATTTTAATAAATAAATAAAAAGTTGCAATAAAAAGGAATTTATTTGCGGAATAAACTTGCAAGCATTTTTAAAATTAAAGTTGAACTTGCCTTTCTTTTAAAAAGTAAGTTGAAAAACGACACAGAGTTGACACGAATTTAAATTTAAAAAATAAATTAATTAAGATACTAATATCTTTTCCAGACAAAAAACATAACTATCATTTTCTAAATTAAAACTTAAATCTTATCCCAATATAAATTCTTGAATTAAATAATTAATAAACAAAAAGTTGTCATATGGTTGATGATCCTACCCTACGTTGTCAAACTAATGTTTAAATTAACGCAATAATAAAGAGCTGTATGAATATATGTTTTTTTTCTTTATAAAAGCAATTGAAGGTGGGGTTGAATCTAAGTTTTAATACGAGCATGACGAACAAAACTATAAGCAAAAGCAATTAAGCAATTCAACTAATTTGCAACTGTCGAATGAAAAATCATATACTCCAAGACTGGTGAAGAACTTACAAGTAATGGATGGCGCACCTGCAGCAAACCATGAAGCATTGTTCTCCCAGTCGCCAATGACTTGCCCGAGCGGTGGCAATAGCTGTGGCAGAGCTCTAATGGCAGGAATACATGGTTAGCTTGAGTTACTCCTTCATATAAATTTATCGACGAACATTTATTTTAAATTTTAAAAATAAATCACACGGACCTGGTCGATCTGGATGGCATAAGATGTATGGTGAATCGACAAGTAAATTAATACAACAAACCGTCCTTCAAAGGCACATTATGTCAATGCAACTTGAAACAAGCTCAATAGAGAGGAAGGTCTAGGAATCAGAGACAAGATGGAAAAATCAACACGGCATTACTAATGGAGATAGTGAAGCTTTGGTGGTTCAAGAACAGTTAGTCTTTGTTTGTATGTCTCTTAAACAAACTTATTATCAACCCAGGCTCCCTATCAACCAGCTAGCTGTATAATTAATCATCAGTTCCGAAGTAACGATCACCAAACTCACCCATACCGGGTATGACACGATATTCTTTGTTCAATCCAGCATCGATCTCAGAAGTGACAATTTTCAAGGATGGGAATCGTTTGCAAACACAGTGAATCCCCTCGGGGGCCTGGACTCGAAAGGAGTTATACTGATATCAGTGTTGGCAGTTGCAACCATTTTAATTAGTTTTAACCAATTTGGATGGCATAAAATAACTCACAGAGATCAAGTTGAGGAATATGATGTGCGATTCTGGAACTCCCTTCTGTATAAGTAGATCAATTGCTTGATTAGCTGAGTTGCCTGCAAAGATCACAAAAATAAAGTTTTAAACAGAACTTATTGGTTATGGATAAAAGTACAAGAGAACAAGAGTATGAGAAATCTTCTGACAGAAAATGAAAAGCAATATTCAAGAATTTATAACGAATTTGGGAATATCAGATAAGAGTTATTAGTAATATCTTGATTTAAATACTATTTTGATCCTTGTGAAGATTTTGATTCATTTCAGTCTTTGTACCTTTAAAACGCTCATTTTGATCCTATATTTTCAATTTCATCACTGCTTTTTACCGGAATATATGGCCAGACCGAAATGCTCGCATCTTCTCATATAAGCAACAAGCATCATTTCTTTTATAGACTCTACTTTGCCTTTGCTTTAAGCTTTAATCTGGAATCATTTATCCCCCCTGTTTGTAACTACATTCTACCGACTCCCTTATCTCATTGGAGGTGTTTTCTGTAATCATACACAGAGGGCATCCTTTTATAAACTATATCATCGATCGATGGAATAATTTCAGTTTAGTCCCTATACTTTTAAGATGCGGCCAATTTGGTCATTGTTTACAAAAAGCAAACATAAATTTTATACACAATGGGAATTTCTAATACAAATTTATGGGTACATTTCAAAAAATTTAGCAAGTTAAGTATCATACTATAATGAGATAAAAATGAAAATGAAAATGAGAGGACTTTCTTCTAAAAAGTACGAGAGTCAAAATAGACATTTTGAAAGTACATAAATTTAATGAACAAAAGTTGGAAGTATAGGAACCAAAATCGACGTTTAAATGTACAAAGACCAAAATGAACCAAAAGTTAAAAGTATCAAAATAATATTTAAATCTAATATAACCAATAAATAAAATAAAAAGATTATAGAGCTATCAGTATCTCGATGGCCACTTCATTAGGCTAACAAACATTGAGAATCAACATACTGATGCAACTTGGATTTTCAAAGTCGTGCTGCAATTGTCAAATCTAAATATCACCAAAGTTAACTTATTGTTGTATGACAGACTGACTAATGATGAGTAGAAGGCATTCAAACTAATAATATAGTCATAATGATATTATTACCAGTAGCGAGAACAGGATCTAGGAGTAGGACATGTCGCTCTGATATATCATTGGGTAATTTCTGGTATATCAGCTGTTTAGTTTGGACAAAAAATAGAAATTACAATGTTAATATAACCCCAAAAATGACAGAAGAAAGCACAGATCAAGCTCCAACAAACTCTATAATTCGAAAGTAACATTCTAATTTCACCTGCATCCCATTATCTCCCTCGCGGTGAATCAGAATCTTCCCAATTTTTATCCCTTTGCAACATGCTCGCAATGCATTTTCCATGCTTTCACCACTAAATCATTAGATTGCGGATAAGTGTCAACAATGAGAAGAACCTTCTTATCAAGTCTTGGCTAAACATCTCATTTATCCTCGAAGTTGGTCAAAAAATGATCACAACCACAGATGTAATCAGCAAGTTCATCTCAGACAAATTCTAGTTGCCATTATTCAGACAGCAAGTATGATATATAGTCATGTCAAACTTACCTTCGAATGATAGATACCCCACATAGTTTTTTGCAGAAATCAACCCCAGTGTATACAGATGCTAAGATCAAAAGCATGCATTCATTCTTTATCAGTATCCAGAACGCAAGCAAAAACTCACGGCAAGAGAAATGAGTTCACTGCACAAATAAGTAAGCACAAGAATCGTTACTTCCTTAACTCACCAGTTGGGGTGACCACTTGTTTTTCAGTAAATGGCAAATGGCCAAGGCCATGCTCCACAACCTGAGAATCAAAAGAACAAAATCTATGACGATGTAGAGATTGTGACTTTACTGACACAATTAAACTAGCATTTGAGCCTGTAGAAGAAAGTACCAGACGAATAAGTCTATCTGAGTAGAACACAAAATCGTGCTTTGAAATGTCCTGGTCTCGAATTAATGTATGCATACCTCTTATCTGGAACATTCAGTTACCAACATGAGATTATCGAGAGTAACATCTCAAATGAGAACAGGAACAATTATTATATCTTTAGCCACTTGTCTGAAACATTATTTGGTAAACCTCTCAACCAGTGACAAGACAAGATCAACAAGTTCATTTCTCAAGCAACAAATCACATCTCCCTAACGCATATCTTTTAACTGCTTTCTTTTTCCTAAAAAATAAGAACCTTGAGTCTACTGTTGCAGAATTCTCTGCATCTGTCTTCACATTATTTCCAGCTCAAGGCTAATAGTAACTATGTGAACAGACAACTGAAGGTAAATATTTTACCCTAGTTGGCTGGTCCTTTAAGGGAAAAAGGGGAACATAAAGTATCAATTTCAGGGAATTTCTATTAGAAAATGTAATACCTGAAATGTTGACTGAATGACAGTAACATTGGGGTATATTTTGCAAAGGTCATGCTGGCCTAATTTTGTATGGATGTGTTGCACAATCAAATCAATTGCAACATGGTTCTCACCCCCACGTGGTATGATCACATCGGCATACTTCTTTGACGGCAGAACAAAATCATCAAAAGCAGGTTTTACAAACTTTGCATACTGCAAAAATAGAACAAAGGAATTACCACCGAGTATTTGATGAGGTATGCCAATTAGATGATGCATAATGAAGTATTGTTATTCTCGCTATAAAATTCGTAAGCAAACTATAAGAATTGATCAGCCAATAAAAACAAAAGCAAGCCCTTCCAACACTTCAACTATGCCCCTTTTAGTAACAGCTCTGAACGAGAAACAAGGCTGTGATCTTATTGAATATATGACCAAGTAAGTCATTGCAATAATAATTCTGTCGGTCGGGTTAGGTTGAGGTTCTTTTTCAGCTATTCAGACATAAAACTTTATTAATGTACCATACACTCGGGGAGGGGGGGATGGCGGCATAAATTGTATCTCTTAACATGCTAATGCCACGAGATCACCATGATTGGAAGCAATGAAATGGCTCAAGATAGTAATTCCTCAACACATTGGCAACTACATCTTTCCTTTTTCATAATGCGCCAAATGATTATGGTTTAGTTATGGTAATAACCAAATATTGAGCTTGGGGAGCATTTCAAAATCCTCATGGTCTGAAGGAAATATAATTTGATGATAGTAAGCTATGGAAGACCTTGTGAATAATTCAATGCACACACCATTCAACCTTTATAATCAAAGATCCCATTAGGTTTGATCTAAATACAGGAAAGATATTGATATTTTACCTGTTCAAGGACAGAGTTAATGTCCCTGCCCCTTTCTACCGTATCGCGTCTAATTCTACGAGCAAGTCTCACATCAGGCTCTAAAACCAATGCAGTGCGAAATATTAGGTGAAGGTAGAGGTATTCAATAGAAGTAATATATAGAGGACTATTTTAAATTTTCTGATAAAAATGTAAGTACTAAAGATCAATAAGCAGACTTTAATTCAATCCAAATCTCTGACACATTTAAAGTAAGCCCAAAGAAAGCCAACAAACCAATGCTTATCCCCCCCTTGCCTTGAGAATTCACATCTCCCAATTCATCCACAGACTACAAGAAAAGTTTTTTAAAAAATGTTCTCACTAGTTCAGAATTCAGAGCTCTTCAATTATACTTTGTTCATTCCGAATACCGTGCAAGTTTTACAAAAATTCTCACACACTCAGGACACGAGTCTAAAGTCTATGATGTGGAAAGTGGTGAAATCACACGGGGTCAAAAATTGAAACAAAGAAAATAATAATAGCAAAATTGTAACCTGTGTCAACAAATATCTTCATGTTCATCAGATTGCGGACTCTTTGATCATGGAAAACCAAAATACCTTCCAAGATGATAACATTGGATGCATTTACCTGGTGCGAGTCAATAATTTATTTTCTGAAAAAATCACAGCAATGAATAGGCCCAAAACCCCCTCAAAAAAGAAAACCAAATGAACACTTGGGAAGAGATGTCACCACCTGCCGAAAGCTATCTACACAGCGTTGATGAGTTTTAAAATCATAAATTGGGACATGGTACGATTGCCCACTCTTTAGCTTCTCGATGCAATCCACAAGCTGTTCGGTGTCAAACGAATCTAGAGACAATTCAATTGAAGTAATTGAAAGCGAACAATGTTATATACAGTTGCTATTCAAAGATGATTACTAAATCCAAAAGCTTAAGCTGCTGGATTATGGCAAACATGATTCCCTTTAAAAGCAATCAAATCGTTATCCCATGCAAAGAAATATTGAGAGGTGGTTAAACAATAAACCTCCGTGCTTTCCCTTAAAATTTCCGGAAGCAAAAAACAATTTGAAATCACTAAAGTCATTACCAGGATGATCAAAGTTATACTCGTGCACACGTTCTAGTTCCTCAGCTGTCAACCCGCGGTAAAACGAGTCCTACAGCAATGCCATGGAGTTCAAGAAACTGAAGCAAAATCTAGACTAAGAATCAGATACAGCGAAAAGAAAGATAACCTGATTGACCAGCACTACCCTATGATCATGAAGTTGCTGGATGATCATGTCACACACTGTCGTCTTCCCAGATGCAGTACCTCCAGAAACACCTAACAAATTAACAATACCAACAATTAAAACGTCTTCGATCCAAACGGAAAGAATTGTAACTGTAAATGCAGGATCAACAAAATACGAAGCGCGAATATGAAAATAAATCAACTCATTCACATAAAATCCAAATCCCCTAATAAACCAATCAAGAACAGAGAGGAAAATTACCGATGACGAAGGGCTGCTTAGGAGTGTTGGCATCGGCCTGCGCAAAGGAAGAGGAAACAGGATAACGATGAGCCGGAGAGGAAGTTGAGGAAGACGGCGGAGAGGAGAGACGTCCGTCGAGCCGGAGGCCAGAGAAGTGAGGTCCAGAGGCGGCTTCCATGACGTAATCTATCGGGATGGTTTCTTCCGACATGACTACAGATCAGCGTACCAGTCGTTGGCGGGGTTATCACTCGGCCGGTAAATACGCCGGCGGATTTGGGCACAAAGATTCCCGGTACTGATATTCCACGCTTCCGTTCTGAAATGTTTTAAGCGTGAAATATCCTTCGCGGAATTAGCGTATTATGTCAAACAAAAATAAAACATTTTTTTATTCGGTTCAACAAGCATTTTTAGGCGGGATTCGAACCTACACGAAAGCAAAGCATTCTTTATTTAGAGAGCCTATATATTTAATTAATTTATGTTTAATTCCCAATTTAAATATATATATATATAAATATATATTTTTTTTTTTTTTCTTTTTGTATATTCATTAATTATTTTAATATTTAATATATTATTGTAGCGGTGGGTATAACCTATCTAATATATTAAATATTAATTTAAATAATCTAACGGCCTTTTGATACAAAGTTAACTCCTTAAACTTTTTAATTAATAAATTTTGATACGTTGACTATGTTAGACAATGGAAAGACCACAATAGTACGAGTATTTCTGGATTATAAACTCATGGTCATTCCCTAAATTAGGGAACGTGGGACTTTCATCGTCCAACACATTCCCTTTAACAAAGTATGTCTCCCCTTAATCAAGGCTCGACTCCTTTGGAGTTTTACCATCATCCAACACCTCCCCTTAATCAAGGCTCGACTTTTTTGGAGTCTTAGTCAGTATAGACTGTCTTCGAGGAAGCTCGACTCCTTTTCTTTTGGAGTCCTTTGTTCGACATTTGAGGATCCCATTAGCATGACTAAGTTTAGAGCATGGCTTTGATACCATGTTAGACGAACACAACTCTCCACAGCGGTATGATATTGTCCACTTTGAGCATAAACTCTCATGACTTTACTTTGGGCTTTCGACCCGGACGTTTTCGGGATGCCCCTAATAACCAACGAATGGAAGCCTTTACAATGTTGTGATTTTGTTTAAGTGATTGCAAGTGACAGCTTAGAAGGCAATTGAAGTTGGGTGAAGATTTTGAAACAAAGAAACATCTAATCTTCTTCACTGCTAAGGTTGTGCCCAACATTGATTATTGTTGTTACTTTGAAATGTTTCAATTTGTTTGGGTGTTATCATGTGGTCTTTAAATGCCATGTTTTCTGCATTTAACCCAAAGAAAATTGGGGTTAAAATTTCAATGTTCAAATCTAAGTACGGTTATTTTCCTAAAATATCTAGATATCTTTCGTAAAATCTCTGTTAAAACAAATATACGATGCACCCTGTTGAAAAAAGAAATATGCACGTTGTTGATATAGATAGTTGTTAGACGATGAAAGTCCCACGTCTGCTAATTTATGGAATGATTATGGGTTTATAAATAAAAAATACTCTCTCGATTAGTATGAAGCATTTTGGAGAAGCTCAAAGCAAAGCGATGAAAGCTTATGTTCAAAGTGGACAATATCATACTGTTATGGAGAGTCGTGTTCGTCTAACATAGTATCAAAGCTAACAATTGGTATCGTATCAGAGTCATGCCCTAAACTTAGTCGTACCAATAGATTGGTAAATTCTCAAATGTCGAACAAAGGACTCCAAAAAGAAAAATGAGTCAAGCCTCCTTGAGCCTCGATTAAGGGGAGGCATGCTTTATTCGAAGGGGCTAATTTAGGAAATGATCAAATGATCCTGGGTTTATAAACAAAAAATACTCCTTCTATTGGTATGAGACCTTTTGGAGAAGCCCAAAGCAATGCCATGAGAGAGCGTTTATGCTCGGACAATATCATACCATTGTGGAGAGTCGTGTTCGTCTAACAATAATAACTTTCATTTATTCGGGGAGAGAAAAAAAGAAAAAAAAAACAAAAAAGTGAATTTAATGAATAAATTCTACGACTATTCATGGATGCGAAGTGATTAAAGTTGGATTTTCTTTTTAGGAGAAATCTTAATGAAAGGCTCTTACAAAGTTTGGAAGATGGCATCCACCAAATTCACATCAATGTCCAAACAACTGCCACGTCACCATTTTTTCTTAGTGGTACACGTCAGCAACCTTATTATTTATTAAAATACAAAAATTATAATATCATACTTTATATGTAAAGCGCTTAAGGATGACCAAATGAACCTAAAATCATTATTTAAAAATTAATAAATATATTTGTCTCAACAATTAATTAATTTTAAAATAGTTTTTCTTTTTCCTTTTCTTTTTTGGGTTAAATCTGGTCAATTAGAGAATAAGACGGCGGGTACAGCATGATCGTTCACAGAGTTAGTAACCGAAATAATTTTTTTTTTTTATATATATATAATTTTAGTTTATTTTAATTTAGTCTTTTAGTTTTAAATTTTTAATTAATAAACCCTTCAAAAAAAAAAAAATCATTATCCTTTTATTCTTTGACAATTTTCTGAAAAATATATGTTTGAAAATTCTTGATTTCCTTTATGTTTTAAAATTCTTATATGTCTATTTAAAAGTTTAATATTTTGCTTTAAAATAATAATTTTAAAGTGAACAAAGTTGAGTATAATTCGATAAATATATAATTGAAATAAAAAAAAAAATATTATTATTCAGACGATTATTTATCTCTAGTTTAAAGTCTACGTATCATTAACAATATTTTTCGAAATATCTTATGCAAAACGTGGTTAGAGGTCAGACTATAGTCTCTCATGAATCCCGAGTAGAAAGACTTTGAATTTCTACCCTACCCAACTAAAAAAACTCAGAACATTCAACCTTAAAAAAGCTCAAAATACAGTTTGACAGCGTAACCGTCCAAGTCTACTATTAGTAAATATTGTCGAACTTATTATACTTTTTGGGAAGACGGGAAAGGCTGCTACATAAACAGAAAGAAGAGAGAGAAAGTAGAGAGAGAAAGGGAGAAGATCAGAGAGCGTAAGTTTTTGAAGAGGGAGAGTCAGCGATTTTCATGGTCTGTTGGATGAGCTTTTGGGCCTTTCTGCTTCTGATTTCAACTCGCATGCTTTCACTTTTCTCCATCTTATCGTAACTATCTGTGGCCTTCTTCATCTTCAACGACTTCATGATTTTTGCCTTCAAATTCACCACTAACCTCTTCATGATTTCTTCCCTTCACAAAAATGGCAGAACAAGAGAGAGAAAGGGAGAGAAGAGAGAGAAGTAGTAGACCAACAATTTGAGAATGAAATTAAAACAAAAAAATGTGAGTTTTACAAGGAAGAGAAGACACCACTCCACACTTAATAATAACATCCAAACCACACAACTTTTCTGCCCCAAATATTTAAATATTACTTTATTCCATTTACTATACACAGGCTTTTATCTTCCCTTCCACATTTTTTTTTATCTCTTTGGATTTTTTTTATTGTAAAACATAAAATATTAATTTTTATTTTGTTTTCGAGTTAATCAGTCGACCCCACCAAAAAATAGTCAACCAACAAATTGAACAACACAACCCAACTTTTATGATTTGAGTTGGATAGTCCCGATTCACCCAATTATCAATTATGGGAACACCCTAAAGCATAGCAGATGTGCTGCTCATTCCCATTCCCATGGTATTTTGAGATTTGATTGATTTTTGAATATTTTATAATTAATATTTAATTTTAAGAAATATAATTTTTAGAAATATAACCTATTATGAACCTATGACTTTTCTTTTTTTTATAATAATTCCCAACTCTTATTTTATAACTAGTCTAATCTTTTTTTTTTTTTAGTAGAGACGGAATGATTTAGAAAGCAAAGGGGAAGGAGTGGATGAAAACTCAGTTAAAGATAATATTGCAACGACGACACACTTCGAGCTTAAGAAATCTATAGAGCCACATATGAGACGATACCTAAAATTCTTATCCAGAGAACAAAATAAATATTTTTTTTAGAGAAATATTTAATAGAGAATAAAAAAAATTTCCAAAAAAAAACAAAAATACACCTATTAATCATAATAAAATATTTTAAAACTATATACTTTTCTTTATTGTTTGAAATATTTAAATGTTTTAAACATATTAAATATTATTAAAGTTTAAATTTTTGGCTTAAGTGAGTTTAAAAAAATACTCACTAAATTAAAATATTATAATTCAAACTTTAATCTAGTCAGAATCCACTTCTAAATAATTTATTTATTTATTTTTTAGAAAATAATAATAAAAATTAAATACGTCACATTCATTGTCTATAAAAATACAAAATTAGTTTTAAATGAGAAAAAGTTAATAAAAAATTATATCACGGTGTCATGTTCCTCGCAACTTGTAAAGGAGGAATTATCCTCTGCAAGAGCGTCTACATATCTATTTGGACATCAGCTGGATGGACGGCCCTTATTTTTCCTTAAATTACAATAAAAAAATGCATATTCATTCTTTTCCATATACTTTTTAATTTTTAAATTAGGTAAGATTTTAATGTTTTTTTTTGGTAACTTTATACTTTATTATCCATGAAATTTAAGTTAGTTTAATTTTGATGGAAAATTTTCAATTTTCCTTTTAGTTTATTAACTTTTAATTAAATACAATAATTATAAAGACATTTTTATTAAAATTTATGACAAACGGTAATAATCGATATAATTACCTACCAAACTTTTAATTTGAGCCGTTATTACTGTAAATTAAAAAAAAAGTGATAATTTGCGTTAATAATAATGCCGTATTAAAGAGGTATATATTTAAAAATATCAATTTAAATATGTTAATTATTATTTTAAAAGTCGATAGTTTAATTTTTATTTATTTGTACGACCAACATGTTAGAGAATTAAAAGAAATATTTATATAAATATTGTAATTTTTAAAGAAGTAACAGAGGAAATGAAAATTTGATTGAACAAACCAATTTATAATTTAAAAAATATATAATATTGTATAATTAAAGTTTTTTCTTTGAAAATTGAATTCTAAAAACTAAATTATAAGTTTTAAAATTTTAATTTAACATTTAATTTTTTGGGCCATGAATTTATCTAATTTAAAAAATTCGAGTAAATTGCAACTTCCTCTGCATCTTCCCCATCGAAACCCTAGCGCCCACAATCCGTGTTGCAAGCCGTAGCCTTCCCTATTCTCCGTCTCTCCTGCCCAATGGTTCAGCCGACAAATCCATCCAAATTGCGATGGGGGGAGCTAGATGACGATGATGGGGATCTCGATTTTCTTCTTCCTCCCAAGCAAGTTATTGGGCCGGACGAAAATGGGTTGAAGAAAACTATTGAGTATCAGTTTAACGAAGATGGAAACAAGGTCAAAATCACGACGACCTCTCGAACGCGCAAGCTTGCTAATGCTCGTCTGAGTAAACATGCCATAGAGCGCCGATCTTGGGCCAAGTTCGGCGATGCTGTTCATGAAGACGTCGGAAGTAGGCTCACTATGGTCTCGACCGAGGAGATTCTTCTCGAGCGTCCTCGTGCTCCTGGTTTGTGTTTAAATAATCTTTATTTTGGTAGTTTTTCGGAATTGCGTGCATTTGATTGGTGTTGCAACTATTTAGTTATAATTTGATTACGGTGTATGCCATTTGTTTCTATGTTGGAGCGCTTTCTTATGGTTACAGTGGTGTTTGATCTTTAGAAAACTCTGGTACTTGCTTACTGGAAATATTTAAACGTATATGGTTTGTATTTGAAACGGAGAGAATCACCTTTCGATGGTGCGAGGGGATTGATAGACTTTGCAGAACTATACATATGTTGTATGTTCTATTCGGAATTTCAGGGTTATCTTGTGAATTGAATACTTTTGATTATCAGTATTTTGTTAATAATCCTTGTTATTAAACATGAGAGATTTCTCTGTGCCATTCATTTGACTTCATAGTTATGAAATTTGCTTGCACTTCTTACGAGTAATGCTTGAATGTCTTTATACTTTTGATACAATGCTCACATTAATTCTTTATCAGCCAATTGAAGCGTATCTTCTTGCCTTGTTTCCTGCAAATGATTACAGGTAGCAAACCAGAGGAGCCAAAGGTTGCTGGGGACCCACTAGCTCAACTTGGGAAAGGTGGAGCTGTTCTTATGGTCTGCCGAACCTGTGGTAAAAAGGGTGACCACTGGACCTCAAGGTGCCCTTACAAAGACCTGGCATCACAAGCTGATGGATTGGATAAGACTGTTGCACCAGAGGCTACAACTGCCGCTCCTGGTGCAACAAAGGGAGCGTATGTACCTCCAGGTATGAGAGCAGGGGCAGAGAGGACTGGAACTGACATGAGACGTAGAAATGATGAGAACTCTGTTCGTGTGACCAACCTTTCGGAGGATACTAGAGAGCCTGACTTACTTGAGCTTTTCCGACCTTTTGGTGCTGTTAGCCGAGTTTATGTCGCTGTTGATCAAAAGACTGGCATGAGCAGAGGATTTGGTTTTGTAAACTTTGTGAACCGTGAGGATGCACAAAGAGCAATTAACAAACTCAATGGATATGGTTATGATAATCTCATCCTTAGAGTTGAGTGGGCTACTCCAAGGGCGACTTAAAGGTATGATTTCTCTCTCAAACTCTCTTGTGATTTGCATACTCTTGTAGCTGGATTTTTCTCTCCAACATTTTGTTAATGTTTTCTTTAGATTACTTGAGTCCAGAAAATGATTGAATCAGTGTTTTGCACCGGTAATTTACATGTAGTGGATTTAATTCAATGACTCTGTGAGTTTACTTATTTGACTGTTTGAAGCTGGGAGAAATAGCAATGTTTTTACGTTTTCATAGCGTGTTAACAGTACAGAAATGAAAATATGTAAATGTAAAGGGAAAACCGTTGCTATTCATTAAGCTTTATACGTTATTGGGTAATATGTTATGACATGTACATATTTTACAACCTTGAGAAGAAGCCATATGCTATGTTCCATCTTTGTTGAGCAGAGATGAGAAGCAATCCTAATTCGGTCTCAATGAATTTGTAGTTTATCTGTTTGAATTTTGAGCCACTGAAATGTCTGGCGAGAACCCAAAAGGGGGGGTGAGAGTTTGAATGGAGGTTTAGTCCAAGGTATTATAGGTGCTTTCGATAAAGAGAAAACCTCTATTGTGACGTTTATAGGTGCTTTTGGTATAGTAGAGTCTGAAATCATAAACCAAAATAACATTGCTTATTGAGTAAATTGGTGTGAGTTTAGAAGCAGCTTCTAAATTCATTTCTTAAATTACAGCTTCTAAGGTGATAGTTAATATTTCTCTTAGGGTGAAAAGAGGAGTAAGAAAGTGAACTGATATAGGAAACTAATTCTTCTAAGTAGTGGAAAGGTACATATTACACTCTGCTTGCCTGTTGATGGTTGAGCTAGTTTGTAGTCTATGGCTTGACTAAGAAATTAACAGGAGAATGGCTCAATTAAGGGAGAAGCCATTAGAGCTGTCATTCAAGAGTCTCTATGGAATTATTACCTGAACCTCCCCTAAAGCCGTAGTGAGCATAGTGTCACAATCTGTAATACGATTGTGCCCAGGGGAGTGTCACAACCGTACTATGAAGAGAGTAGGTTGTGACCCTTACATCATGGCACTCGTCTAGGCTCTCGCTGGGCTGGATGGGCGCCACTTAAGGGTCTTGGCCTCAATGTGTGTATCCTTTGGAATCACACAAACTGGTGCACCCCTCGGGGTGGGGCTCGCAAGCCCAACCGCAACACATAGCACCCTCAAAATCTCAAAATTTAGTAAATGGATCAAACCGAAGTAGCAAAGTGTAGTTCTACATAGTATCTTGTATTGTCAAGGATTATTATGGTGGTTGTAGATTTGAAGTTAGTGCTATAGGTTCAAACCTAACATAATGCAATGATGATTATCAGGAATAATTGAAGAGATTACAAAATATGACAGCCTTTTAGTTTGATTATCAAACTATTCCCGGTTCTATGAATGCAGTCTTTTTCAAATAATTGCAGTTTGGTGATGGTCTTTGGATTGATCACTCGTTTTTTGGTTCGATTATGACATACAATACTCAAACTTTATGTTATATCAATTCATCACTACAAGAATGTTTGTTGTTTAGTCATATTAAAAGCCTTCCTTTTGCCAAAGATAAGATTCATGAATTATAGGCTCACAAGTGTGATAGTTTGAAGATTGCAATGTTAGAAAGTAGATGCTAGTTTGGTAAATGTTTCATCCAGTCAATGCTAACAGAAAGGAAGAAAGAATATTTGATTGCATGCCGGTGCGTGGGTATCTTCCTACACGACACTATTAAATTTTGACAGCAACGAGAGAGTAAAAAAAGTTTGAATTGCTCATTTTCACCTCTCCAAGTCGGAAAAAAAAATTTAATGGTGGTGTGTAGGAAGATAGCTCTACATCGGTGTGTAGCTCAGTATTGATCTCCCAAATTTGTTGCTTCATTGATTTGAGTTGCTGGACACTTCTTTAAGGTATCTTCGAATTTCCTTGGCAAGAATTCCATCTTTATGAAAGTAAAAGCATCAAAGTTAGTTTGGGAAAAAGAAAAAAAAAACAATAATATTTTTGATGCATAATCTTTCTAAAAAGATGAGAAAAACAATCTTCGAAGACAAATTTAAACAAATTGTAGTCGGTTAAGGCATTTGATGCTTTAATGATTCACAAGAAATGTTGGATGAAGTGATTCTTAGATAGAGATGTCGTTATGGGGAGTCGTCCTGAACAAGGAAAAGATTCCCCTGCTTAGATGGGGAATGGCGGGGATTGTGAAACATTTTCTTTTTGGGTTAGATAAATGGGGTTAGGAACACGATTATATTTTTTCTTGCTTTGGTTAACATAAATATAGTTTTACCATAAAATAATATTAGTTAATTTTGAAACTCTATTAGGGATATTTAAACTAATCAAAAATAATAATAATAAATGAGGAAAAATTAATTATACAAAATTAAAAAATATCATAAATTAATTTTTAGTTAAAAAAACAAAAACAAAGAGTTCAGTCTGAAATTGAAATTGAAATTGACAATATCGAGAAAAAGAAAAAAAACTCATATTTTATTATTAGTTTCTTTATTTACAATTTATTAATCTATAAGTATCACTATTTACATTAGATAGGTAACAACCTTTCGTAGCAGTAAATTACAAAAATCACGTGCCTAAACTTTTTGTTGTCGAATACACATTAATTAAATATCAAAATATTCCCAAGATGCTTAACATTAAAAAAAAATATAATAATAAATAAAAAAGTTCCGGTGGAAAATCATGTTCACATCAACCCATCACCGACACCTCCAAACCTGTTTTTCACTTTTTCTTTATTTATCAAAAACAATTTTATTAATTTATTAAAATAACTTAATTTGACCCAAACTTCAAAATTAAATTAACAAAAAATTATTTCTCATCCCAATGTTTTTTTAGCTAAACAATTAAGACTAATTTTTTTTAATTTAATTTATATTTCTAGTGTTTAAATATAAATTAAAAAAAAAAAAGTGTCCCGTCAATAATTTAAATAGTTATATGAAAAATGTTCATTGGCCTACCAAGTTGGACTAATGTGGCCCTTGCCTTTTGGTACTACTCTTCCTATCCACTCTCTATATTAAAAAAAAAAAAAATACATTTAATCTCTCTCCTAGCAAATTATTATACCATAATTATCCCTTTAATAATCATTAATTTTTTTTAAAAAAAATATTATCTATTTTAAATATTAATTAACCATAATTTCATATTTTTAGAATTTTAACCTATTTTCTAATTCTCTCTCTTATTTAATCCATGGACAAATGTGTGTTGTATGATATGACATTATTTGCTATAATAATTAATAATATCATTTTAATCTTTTAATCTTTAATTATTAGTCACTTTTTTGTTTCTCTCTCTCTCTTTATTTATATATATTTAACCATTTTCTTTGTTGTTTCTCCTGTTTCTCTCTCCAACGATGCTTCAAGTCCAAGCTCCTACCGACCTCCGCCCCGGCAAAAATGGGCAATACAGAACCCTAATGGCGATTTTGGGCGGAGCCCTAGCGCTGTTGATCCTAATCACTATCCCCCTCACTTTCCCTCTCCTCAATTACTCCCTCCTCCTCCTCAAGGCCTCTCTCGAATCCCCCACCTCCGCCGCCTCCTCTGCCTTCCGCCCTCAAATCTTCGCCTCCGGCAACCTTTCCATTTTCTCCGCCCTCCCTTGCGATCTCGCCGTCGGCGAATGGATCCCCAATTCCAACCCTAACGCCGCTCCGCCTTACACCAATGATACCTGCTGGGCCATCCACGAGCACCTTAACTGCCTCAAGTACGGCCGCCCCGACCGCGGATTCCTCCAGTGGCGGTGGCGGCCTGACGGGTGCGAGCTGCCTGCGTTTAATCCGGCGCAGTTTCTGGAGCTTATGAGACATAAGGCGTTCGCGTTTGTGGGGGATAATATTGCCAGGAATCACGTTCAATCGCTCATCTGCCTCTTGTCTAAGGTAAATTTCGTTGGAAAAGTTCTTTTTCCCCCTATTATTTTTTATTTTTATTTAAATTATAAATACTTTATATTATACATCCATTTTAATGAAATGTTGGGTAAATCGATGTGTCGGTCACGAATTTTATATTTTAGAGACCATATTTAATTTAAATAATTACACTTTTTTTCCAATTTTAGACACGAGATAATAATTTTGATGTGATTTTCTTCCCTTTTTGAAAATTGTGAATTATTTGGTATACATTTTCTTTGATTGAATTTTTACTTTTTTGGAAAATGGTGTTGAAATTTGACTAATTTTTATAAACAATAATGGGTTTTTAAAAAAAAAAAAAAAATTATTTCTCAATTTTTTTCCAAATATTAATGGTAGTTATTTATAAATATTTAAAACGAGTACCATATGGAATATTTTGTTTTAATAACTTGGAGTGTGCCATAAGTCACATAAGATTTTGGAATATTTATATATATATATATATATATATATATTAATTATTTTAATTTTTGTAAAAAAAAAGTAAACTTAAAAAATATTTAATAAGTTTTTTAATTTTAATTTTATGTTTAATAGATTTTTAAAATTTTAATTATTTAACACATATCTAAACAATTTATTACTCATTTTCTACCCACAAACAAGCCATGTGACATTGATCTAAATAATGTATTTAATATTATGAGAATCTTTACAGAGAACAATGACAGTGATTCCATCAAATTTCTCGATATAATTTTTTTTTTAATTTTCTTTATTGAGTACTTTTGAGAATGACGTGGTAGGAATTCAAATCATTGACTTCTTAATCGAGTTAGATCGTGGAGACTAATATCTTTTTTATTAGGCAGCGATAATTATGAGCAATAGAACAATGTTGTTTCTTGATTTTTCAGGTGGAGTATCCAATTGATGTTTCACCTAGCAGAGATGAGCACTTCAAGAAATGGAAATACATGTCCTACAACTTCACTATGGCCTTTTTATGGACAACCCATCTCGTCAAATCACAAGAATCATCGACTAAAGGCGTGTTCGATCTGTATTTGGATGAGTTTGATGAAGCATGGACTTCCCAAATACCTGGCTTTGATTACGTGATGATCTCGTCCGGCCAATGGTTTCTTCACCCGCTGTATTTCCACGAGAACGGCCGAGTCATCGGCTGCCACGACTGCTTCCTCGACAATGTCACCGAGCTGGGAATCTACCATGGCTATAGAAAGGCCTTCAGAACAGCTTTCAAAGCCATTCTCACCTCAGAGAGCTTCAAGGGCATCACTTACTTGAGGACATTTGCACCAGCACACTTTGAGAATGGGCCGTGGAATCAAGGAGGGAACTGTTTGAGAACAGAGCCATTCAAGAGTAAAGATTCCGCATTGGAAGGTATGAACTTGGAGCTTTACATGACTCAAATGGAGGAGTTTAGGAGAGCTGAGAGAGAAGGGAGAAAGAAAGGGATTAAGTTCAGGTTGCTTGATACAACGCAACCCATGTGGCTTAGACCAGATGGACACCCGAGTCAATATGGGCATTGGCCTCAGGGGAATGACAGCTCGTTGCTTAATGATTGTGTTCATTGGTGCCTGCCTGGTCCTATTGACATTTGGAGTGATTTCTTGCTTCACATGGTGAAGTTGGAAGGCATCAGATCAGCTCAAGAGAGAGCTCTGTTGGCTCATCAAACAGAATTGAATCAAAGATGAACTTGGATTTCTTGCTTGTTTTGGTTTTGATTCTTTAATCATTATTTGTTTTCTTCTCAAAATCCATTGCTGTTCATCTGTATTACTACTCCACCTATAAAATGAAAGAATGAATGACAATAAAACAGTCTATAGAAGTTTGTATCAGATGCATGTTCAGTTGGTTTGTCTGGGAGATTTCAAGTTTATTCGATACCAGTAGGAAATGAACATAGCTAGATATCAAGTTTCTGTTCATCTAATGAATCACAATGTACAGATTTGATCTGATGAATAGTCGGTGAGGAATCTCGGTGTGGTTGTTCAGAATGAAATTTTGATGAAAACCAGGATGTGCGGACCTTAAGATGTAGAGCACCATGAGTAGCATTCTAATCCGACATGCTTATTCCAAGTGGGTTTCGAGCAATGTTAGTCTCAGAGCTGCTAAAACGGTCCAAGCTCACCGCTAGTAGACATTGTCCGCTTTAGCCCATTACGTATCGCTGTAAGCCTCACAGTTTTAAACGTGTCTGTGAGGGAGAGGTTTCCACACCTTTATAAGGAATGATTCGATCTCCTCTCCAACCGACGTGGGATCTCACAATCCACCCTCCTTTGGGGTCTAGCGTCCTCATTGGCACACCGCCCGATGTTTTGACTCTGATACTATTTGTAATAGCCCAAACCCACCATTGGCGGATATTGTCCGCTTTGGCCCGTTACGTATCGCTGTCAGTCTCACGGTTTTAAAACGTGTCTATTAAGGAGAGGTATCCACACCCTTATAAGAAATGCTTCATTCTCATTTCCGACAGATGTGGGATCTTCGCACCCTTATAAAGAACGTTTCTTCCTCCTCTCCAACTGATTGAGATCTCACAACTACTCTTCAAATTTGATGATGCATTTAAAAATATAGAAAATGAGAAATTGAATTAAAAGAAAAAAATTAAAATGGGAATATGTAATTATTATGTTTAATCTTATTTAAAAAAAAAATAGTAATGGATGTATTTGATTTGGATAATGTGACGTAATGAATAAGCGATTAACCGCTAATACAGAAGTTAGCAGCAAACAGATCTATAAAACGATGTCGTATAAATTGCAGCATTCGATGAAATAAAGAACAAGAAGCATCGGCGGTGAGGTGGTGATCAGTATCAACGTCAAAGGGTGAAGAAACCAGTCCTCCTCCGTCTTCTCCTTGCAGTTACACACACAGAAAAATGGGGGAAATCAGCGAAGAAACTCAGAGGCTTAAGCGAATTGCGGCGGCGACTTACGACTACGACAACGACCCCCGATGGGCCGATTACTGGTCCAACATTCTCATTCCTCCCAACTTGGTTTCTCGCTCCGACGTCACCGATCACTTCAAACGAAAATTCTACCAGCGCTACATCGTCGGTTCTTTCTCTGATCTGTAGTTTGATCGTTAATGTTTGTGAAATGATAGAGTTAATTCGTTGATTTTTGTTTCTTGTTGGACACCCTTTCTTGGGTTATCTCGAATTTTGTGGTTTGCATTGTCGGGTTTTGTTAATTGTTTGTTTTTGTAAATGTGTATGGTTCTTGTTTTTCTTGTCTGATAGGTATTTCTTGTGCCCAGTTAGTTCTTGAGTTGTGGATTTATTGCGTGATTGTTCTGTAATCTCATTTATCAATCTGTTGATATTCTGAAACTTGCCTTTTCTGGTATGTACTTTGATGTCTTCAGGATTCTTGTTGTTTGATTGGATTTGTTTTCTTGATTGAACAATGTATCTTTAAGCTTTTATCCAGCTTAAACCCTGTTGGGCTTATCTGTTTTCCTGGGTAGTTCGTCATTTTCATACATAAAGGGAATAAGTACACTCCTGTATGTTCATCTGAGGGCCTGTAACGTATCAAGATACTGTTCTTTATGCCTGAGCGATCAGTTAAGCTTCTATTTGATTCTTGGATTAATCATGTTTTGTTGAATGGCTCATTTATATGTCTATTATCATACCATTTGTTGTAAACATTGGATGAAAAGGCTGATGCCGAAGTTTTTATCATACCATTTGGAGTTTGCTTTAAGTACTGTTATTCAAATATGCAGGATCCTGATCTTGTAGTTGAGACAATGTCTTCCGGCAGTTCATCATTTCAGCCAGGGAGGCAGTCAGCACCTTCACCTCCTACAAATGATCAAACTCAGTCACAGAGCTCCGGTATGGGATTTATCATTAAGAAAGTTGCTTTCCAGAGCGGACTTGCATTGTAGATTACCATGTTTGTTACGCGATTTACTAATTGGGTTTCGTTTACACAATGTAGGGTCAACTACAAGAAATCCAGGAACATCGGCAACTACAGGTTCAAATTGGATGTATTTACGCTGGGATCGACATAGGGTTCTTTTTTTGGTCAATGCTTGGGTAAAGTGAAATTCTTCAGCCATCCTAATATTTAGAAGTGTGTCAAGTAGACCTCTTAAGAATTAGACTTTATTTGCAGAATCAAGTCGGGTTTACTGAACCTTACGGGTTGCCATTCGTTATTTCCTGTAGGTGTTTCTCTTGTCATCGTTGGCAGTGATGCCAATGGTTCCCAGAAACATTTCACATAGGGCGTATCAGATTTCTCTTATGGGCACTGCATGCTCCTCTCTATTCACCTTGTTCATTACTTGTGGGGTAAGTTTTTTGGTCAAGTAACTATTGCCTTCTAGTATACCTCAAGGTTTGTCTGACCTGTTTTATCTAGCAGATACCCAGGTCGTTCGATATGCAGGCTTTGGAAGTTTACTTCCGACCTGTCGTTGCAACAAAAGCTCTCGTCTACCTTATTTACTCCATTACCTTTGTAGCTTCAAATCTTTTCCTTAAACGTATAGCTGCTTTGCCTTTTACCCTTGTCTAACTTTATGCAGTTTTTGCTCAGTTATGCATGGTATAACGGTTTCTCCTTCGTTACAGTTGCTTTAATTCCGATTATATGCGTAGCTGTTGAGCAGATTTCCAAGTACGTTCGGCATAATTTCCCCCGATCTGCCTTCTACAGGTAAAGTGGCAAGGTTTCTCTCAAGTTAAATTGTTCACTTGTACAAGCTAAAGAGATTGGCTTAATCTGAGTATATGAACACAAAATAACTCATTTTGTTCTTAGTTTTCTCTATATAACTGAGCTGTGCTTGAACTTTCTTCACTTAATGATTACCATATATTTAGATTTGAATTTCACTTTCTGTGTGGATTGGAGCACTCATTGATCTGTTTGGTTGCTTAGGAAATGCTTGGAGCGGCCTTGTGCTTGGGTGGAATCAAATACAATCACACTTTGTCTTCTGTCTTCAAATGTTGAGATTGCACTGGGTTTCCTTCTGATCATCTCCTTATTCACGTCAGTTCCTCGTCGTCGTCTTTTTCGTTTTCCATCATTAACAATCATTTCATTCTGTAAATCCATCGCCTCGGTTTCTCTATGCAGATGGCAGCGAAACTTCGTGCAAACATTCATGTACTGGCAGGTTGGTTCCTTCTGTCTCTCGTTTGGCTTGCACGAAACAGCAGCGTGGCTAACTCGAGCACACCCATTTCAGAGTACTAACTTCCTTGAAACTGTGTGGTTTGCAGCTACTGAAGCTGATGTACCACTTCCCCTTGACTGCTGGGTATCATCAGAGTGCGTGGGCTAAGATTGGGAGAAAAGTTAATCCATTTGTGAGCAGATTTCTCCCATTTTTGAAGCCTTTACTCTCTGCAGCTCAAAGATGGTGGCTCAGGTAGAGAAACCAAGAATAAGAAAGTGGTTTCTGTTAGTTTGCATTTAGTTTACTGAATATATTCATTGTTTCTTAGAAGATAGTCACATATTCATGACAGAAGCTGCCCTCATGAACGAACCCTGTTGATTTGGGGTTTTTGTATGCATATTATGAAGCAGGGCAGGACTACTTGTTATGAATTATGATATTACTTTAGCAACTGAGATTTGTGATGATAATATGATATATATATACAACCTTTCAAGAATTAGACTATATATCAAATATTCAATTAACAAAGCTATAATATTCAATTCAAGTGATATTAATTCTATGGTTGCAGTGATACCAACCATTGGTTATTGAATGGTGTTGGGCTCGCCATTTCTGTATGTCATAGACATCAATATCATATTCTAAATATTTTCTCTCCACAATTTCACATTCAATTTTTTAAATAAAAAAAAGGTATTTTTAAAAGAAAACAAAACGTCAAGCTCAATCCATGGGTCGGGTTTGGTTGGATTGAGTAAATTTTTAGGATCGACCCAATATTTTTTATCAACCATTTATTTTCAAGTTGGGTTGGACAAATTTTTTTCGGCATAACTCGCACGTTCGCAAGAATGAAACTCAAAGGAATTGACAGGGGCCCGCACAAGCGGTGGAGCATGTGGTGGTTTAATTTGATGCAAAGCGAAGAACCTTACCAGGGCTTGATATGCCGCGAATCCTCTTGAAAGAGGGGGTGCCTTTGGGAATGCGTACAGGGGGTGCATGGTTGTCGTTAGCTCGTGCCGTAAGGTGTTGGGTTAAGTCCTACAACGAGTGCAACCCTCGTGTTTAGTTGTCAACCGTTGAGGTTGGAACCTTGAGCAGATTGCCGGTGATAAGTCGGAGGAAGGTGAGGATGACGTCAAGTCATCATGCCCCTTATGCCCTGGGCGACACGTGCTACAATGGCCGAGACAAAGGGTCGTGATCCCGCGAGGGTGAGCTAACTCCAAAAACTCGAAAAGTTGTCTAGTGAACTTGAAATTTGAACTAATCCTGGATTGGGTGGAATGTTTTTTTTTTAAATTTCTTTATAATTTTAAAAACGTTTTCAAAATTTTTTAAACCAAAAACTAATATCACTAGACAGATCGTTATTCGGTATGCCACGTAAGCACCACGCGGCAATCTGACTGTAATTTTGAAGCTTTGATTTGTTTTATTATTTAAATTCGTTACGCAAAAACACATCACCAATTTGCAAATACAAAATGGAACCTGACAGCTTTCGAATGTGCCATTCAAGCAAAAATCCAAGGTGGATCAGACCACTGATCTTGAAAAAAACGCGTTCATTTTTCAATTCTGAATCTCAAAATCGGCTTCGATCCCTTCGCTTCTCATCTCCTACGGCCGTCCATGGCGGCTACGGCTGACCGGCTCCGCCCTGTCGTGACGTTTGCCGGCCAGGGGATTCGGTTTGATCAGGATTCGGCGGAGACTCCCCCTCTGCTCTCTAGGATGTTGTCTTATCCGATTGGGATTATTCACCACCAGTTGAGCCGCCGTCTCGGTGCCGGGAAGCCACAACCACCGCGGCGTCAGCAGTCTTTTAGTCGAGATTTTGGTCATGCTGCTGCGGAGACCGTTCTTGTTACTCGGTTGAGCTTCACTCTCCTTCGATCTCTTGGGTAATGTGGAAATGGATTCTCTCTGCCTCTCTCTTAACACTTGTACGCATTGCGAACTCATGCACATATGCCGATTATTTGGATTTCGAAAACCTGAATGTGAATTCGCAGCTGGTTTTGAAGTCCTACAAAGATGTCAATTCTTATTTCTATTCCTGTTTTATTTACTCTTTGTTCCCTGAGGAAAGGAAATGGAAAGGATCTGTAGTTCGTAGCTTGAAATTTTACGCCGTCTGCTCTGAGGGAATACTTTAATCATGAAATCCCTTATTTTATTAATTTCGTTTGTTCGAACTTGAGAATCTGCAAAAATTTTAATTAATCATGGAATCTCTACATCATATTAGTTTTGCTCTTTCAGTGAGCTCTTCCTCTCGCTATATCATGATCCCTTCTTTTCATTCAGGGTAGGGTACCGGTGGATCGTAAGGTTAACTGCACTTGCAGTGTATGCCATTCTTCTTATGCCCGGTTTTCTTCAAGGTATTTGTTGCATAGCTTATTCGCTTTGAACATTTCTTCTTTTTCCTGTAAATGATTCTTGGGATTTTGTTGTCCCTGGAAGAAATAGTAAAATTAAATTTGGGGTGGAGTTTTTATTGCACAAGTTGCAAATTAAAGCACTCTTTGAAGCCTCTGCTCAAATTAGTCTTGCTTTCCTCCCGAGCCTCTTGAAATTCTTTAGAGGCCGTGCCTTCCTCGCTAACTTCTTAATAACACTCTTCTGGGCTATCATTTTTGTACTTTGAGTAAACTCACTCGAACAATGGTCATGTTTTATAATACTTAGCCTAATGAAGCTTTTACTGTATGAATACTCTAGTTAGGGACCTCTAAGCAAGGGGGTCTAGGTTTACATTGTTTAAATTTTCTGTAAAGTAGCATTTTGTGTACTTCTGTCCATGGATATGCGAGCACACAATCTGTAATATTTGCCTTCATTTTCAACATTTTCAAGACATTCTGAAATAAGGAATTATTGTGCCCTCGTATTGGTGTTGCCATCTCAATTTACTGAAATTTTGATCAAAATATTATTGTTGGAAAAGTTCCCGCATGAATGCTTGTACTGGATAAATGGGCGTATCTGATTTCCTTTCATTTACAACAGTTATGTATGATTATTTCTTCTCAAGTCAGATTCGGAGGAATATTATTTATGGAAATCAACCAAGAAATTGGTAGGTGTTCTCTTTGGACAGGTAATTGTTATGTTTGTTTTTTCACTCTGACCCTTATCTAAACCATTTTTCTTCTTCTTTTGAGTAATGTTTCAGCTTGGATTTGTATTTACCTACAAATACTGATGAAAAAAAGCCAGTTGTGATATTTGTTAGTGGCGGAGCTTGGATTATTGGGTGAGTGATCCGACATTGATGGCATTTTGCTTGTCCATCCTGAAAAGGATTTTGGTATTGGCTTCATTCAGCTCTTAAAAACCTCTTCTTCATAAGCTATAAAATTTTATACTACAATACATTAGTCCATATTATTATTAATCAATCAAGAAATCGTGATGATATCTAGTCAAGATCCTTAGGAGTTCTATTCCTTTCCAACCACATGTTGCCCATGAGGACTATAGTTGCAATAACCATAAGATTTCTTTTTGCGTGTTAATGGCAACTCTTATGAATTATGACGAACTAAAATGGCCAAATCACCTTCATGTACCAACTTAACAAGTTGATTTGTGTAACTATCTATTCATGGAAGTTTCTTTTGCTTCTTAATGGCAATACAATTGTGACGGTTATTTTCTAATGTTTATTAATGATTCAGGAATAAAGCATGGGGAGCTCTTTTAGGAATGCAGTTGGCAGAGAGAGATGTCATTGTAGCCTCAATTGACTATAGGTAATGCATTATGTTCAAGCATTATCATGGTGAACTTAGTGAGGCTACTTTAGTTCAAAGAAGGAAGAAAACTTACTAGTCCTGCAAATTGTTCTCTGTTAGACTCTTTTTACTAGTCCTGTAAGAAACTTGTCTGAATACCATGTGTCAATCTAAGACACTCTGATGTTTGTGGTCATGGGTAGGATACTTGTTAGCCCAATAGATATATATATCAAATCTAGTCTTTGAGTCTGACACTTGCTAATCACGTACCAAACATTTGTTAAGCATAATAAGTGGGCATAGATAATAATATATGACAAGAATAATAAATTTTGAGTGTTGTGATTCATCAAACTCTATTTTAATAAACGTGTCCTCGCCATATCATATCCATAGCTTCAGTGCCTTGTGTCTGTATGCATGCTTCCAAGATATCAAATGATCAATTTGAATCAGTCAACTCTGTGGTCAGAAGTATATGCATCTACTAGAGTTTGTCTCTTAATCTGAGAACTTTCTACTTGCAGAAATTTCCCTCAGGGTACCATTAGTGACATGGTGACAGATGTTTCTCAAGGGATCTCATTTGTCTGCAAGAATATAGCAGACTATGGAGGAGATCCGGACAGGTGACTGGATAATTTCTTCATTTTCTCATGCCCGCCATATGTTCACTATCTTATTACTTTATTTTTCCCTCTCTGAATAGAATCTTTCTAATGGGACAATCAGCTGGTGCACATATTTCCGTTTGTGCCCTCTTGGAGCAAGCAATCAAAGAAGCTGGAAAAGGAGAGAGCGTAGATTGGAGTGTTTCCCAAATGAAAGCTTATTTTGGTTTATCTGGAGGGTAAATTTCTACCCGTTTTTCATTCTTATGGAATATAAGGGATTCCCAGGAATTATGTGATTCGGCTACAATTGAATAGCATGCTTTCCCGTCGTTGTTAAACTTTTTTATTCTTTTCAAAAGACCACCTTAGATGAAGTACTTTTTATTTTACTCTCGTGCTTAAAAGGTGCTAGACAGACTAGATGAACAAGATAAGAGACGAACAAGGAAGAGAAAATGTTGAACCATAACAATGTCCTTACTTTTCCTAGATTTGTGCAATAAAAAGGCTGGTTTTTGCTAATTAATGGTCCTAATACTGAATTTAACCTCTCAACCTCTCATCTCTGGAGCTCTAACAACAAATCCCTCCCCTTTGGGCTTCGATAAATTCTATGATCATGTTTTTTTATTGGCTCTTGGCTGGTGTAAATGCTTTTACTTCACTTTCACAGAGTATGGCTTAAGGGACCCCATGAAAAACTGAAAGGACTTTCTATGACCTGTTGGTTGGTCCTTTTTCATGTCAATGGTCTATATGTCCTGCAACTCCTCTCAAATTCATTGTTATCTATATGAGGAGTCAAGGCAAATGCCTTGCATTCTATACATTTTAAAAGTTGAGGACCATACATTTTAGGATTGAATTTCACAAACAGATCATTAGTTAAAATGTAATCATAGTATTCTTGCTCGAAAGTAGTTGAAACATCTTTAATTGACCATTGATTTTCATATTCATTTCATTACTAATGCTTCTATCATAGGCTGCCCTTTCCCATTTAGAAAATCCTAGTTATGATTACAATGCAATTTTCTTTCTTGTCTGGCTCATGCATAAGGACCCTGTACTGAAGTTCCCTTTTCTGAATTCTGTGGCAGTTATAACTTGTCAAAACTAGTTGAGCACTT